CACAAGGCCTCCAGCAGGAGCCAGCACGGCTTGGCCAGGGTGTTCTGAGTGGCGGGCTCTGGGCCACCCCACCCTGGGTTTCCCCTCCTTGCTGTTGCATGCCCTGCCGCCCGCAGGGGCTCAGGGAGCTCTCATCAAGCTGTTGTGGATTTGGCCTAATGGAGCTTAGCTAGCTGAGCAGATTGCTCTGGGGTGGCGGGGGGCAGGGCAGCCGTAGGCAGCATAGGATGGGCAAGGTGGGGGCGGGCAGCAGTAGGTGGCATAGGGCTGGCTCAGGCAGCTAGTGCCTTCTCTCTGCCCCAGAGTGTCTGTGTGATCTCATCACAGCCTGGCAGGGAGCTGGCCTGTGAGATTGGGGGCTCATACCCACACAGCCCTGTATGGGAGCCACTTTTACCACGGGAGATTGAGCAGCAGCCATGCCTGGGCACCCCCACCCCATGGCTTTAGGGCCTGGAACTGTTTCTCAGTGAGGGATGCCCAGCTCACCTGTCTGTCCTGCTGGTGAAAGTGTCTCTCCTGTCCTGACCTTCATCCAGCAGACAGTCAGCCTGTCACCCAGTGTGCTCAGTGTGAGGAAAATGCCACATTCCCTTCCTCCATGTGTCCAGGGCCAGTAGGGAGAGGCCGGGGCAGCATTTGTGAGGATGAGGAACAGGATGGGGAACTTGGAGCCTTCTGAGCCCTTTATAGAAGGGAATCTGAGTGAATTCCTCAGCACCTCTCATCCCCGACTCCCAACTGGGCAGTGTGAGAACCCGCTGGCTCTGCGCATCCTGAGCCAGCAGGTCTGGGTGGGCCAAGGGGAGCTGCCTGCGAACGAAGATTTGATTTAGAGGCCAGGACCACCCTCTGGCCACACTGTCCTGCACCGTGAAGGCCTTCCTGGGACTCCTGCCCTGTTCCAGGACCCTGGAGCCCACTGTCATTGGTGAGAGCCTTTATCATAGGTGTTAAGGTCCCCCATTGGCACTGCTGCCAGTGAGGGGCTGACAGCTCCTAATGTGTACTGAGCAGCCGCGAGCCCCTTCTCCTGACTTCCACAAACACTCCTAGCAACCCCAGGCTTTGACCCCACTTCCAGGTCGTTTGTACCAGATGACAGGCTGTGGGCCTTGTGGCACTCAACAGGGTAAGCCGTGCAACCCTGGGATCTCCTCGTGCCCATGCCCAGGGCCAAGGTGTTTGTGGGTCAGTGCCATCTTTAAAGAGGCCTTTAGCGTGCTTTTTTTAACCAGCGAAGACTAGGAATGAGAAAAGGCAATTGACAGAGTGGTTTTCATTAAATCCTGGGTCAAGGTGAGCAGTGAGTAACAAGGTTGCAAAGTGAGTGCCTTTACCCAGTCATGAGCATACCCAGCACAGGGCTGCTTCAGCACCATGGACAGTGGTCACAACCCATACTGCCTCTGGCCATCAATCTTCTCCAGGCCAAGGGAAGCCTGGAATTGGGGGGTTAATTTGGGGTGCGTTGGAGGCATGATCTGAGAGGGAGCATGTCCCCTGGAGAAAGTCACTCTAGGCCCTTCTCTGCCAAGCTGTATACCAGGGGCCTGTTAGGCTGGGAGAGGTCCCCGTCGTCCCCTTAATGTCTGTCCGAGAAAGGGAGACTCAGTGAGGTTCCTGGGGCCTGAGAGGCCAAGCCCAGGGTGGTCAAGGAATGTGGGTCAGGGGCTTCAGTGCCATTCTTGAGGTCTCCAGGCTGGAGCAGAACCTCCCTGGCTTTGGGATTTCATGGGAAAGACCATTTCACTGAACTGTGGACGCAGGCCCATGGCTCCTCTGTGGCCAGGCCCCAGGCAGCTCTAGGGCCCTCTCTATGCCACCAGCATGGCTACCGCCTCCTGACCACATGTCAGCCTGGCTTTCTTGGACCCACAGTGGAAATTGATTCTAATTTGTAAAACTTGGTTCAAAATCTAAAGGATTTTTAATTAAAGGCCAGAAAATCCATCTGTGTAATTAAGCCTCCAGAAGTCACTGGGCTTCGTGCAATGAGTGGCTGGTCGGCACTGGCTGTCCTCAGCTGCTCACCAAGGTGTGACCAGGAGACAGCCATGATGTGTGTGTGTGAGGAGGCGATTGAGCCCTCTCCCTCCATAGGCGGGACCCGTGTGCCCCGGACTGGCAGTCCCCAGGGCAGGAAGTGCTCCATGGTGCTTCTCTTGAGAAGCAAGCATATGTGTGTGCACCTTCACCCAGACCAAGGCAAGGGTGCAGGGCCAGGGTGCGGGACCCCAGGATCTTCTCTCTCCTAGGCACGTGTTTGGGGTATTGGGTGGAGAGGGGAAGGGGTATGTCATAAAGATAGTAACTCCATGAAGGCAAGTGTGCACCTTCACCCAGACCAAGGCAAGGGTGCAGGACCCCAGGATCTTGTCTCTCCTAGGCACGTATTTGGGGTGTTGGGTGGAGAGGGGAAGGGGTGTGTCATAAAGATAGTAACACCATGAGGGCAAATGCTCACAGGGATGGTTGGGGAACTTTCCAGGTGCCGGGGCCTTGCTGACTGGGTTGGTTATTCCAGCCACCCTGATTGTGTTCCCACTTTTCAGGTGAGCCTGTGTTCATGGCCTCCCCGTTGGGTCCTGAGTCACTAGCCATAGTTGGTCGTCCTGAGCCCCCATGGCGTGCCTGAAGCGGGCAGGGAGCTAGGCTGGAGCTGGCAGGGTCAGGAAGAAGCCAAGGATAGATTGGGTTTTGCTTGTCAAGGGTTTCAGAAGGTGTAGATCCAGGGACCCCAAGCCAGGCTGTCTTTTGGAGTTGTTGGGGTCCTAGATTGTGGTTTTTGCTGAGGAGTTGACCTCCACAGCCCCTGACCTGAGTACCCTCTCAGGGGTCCTGGCCCAGACCAGCCCCAGAACTCCAGAAATATCCACTCCATTGAGGACGGAGGTCCTCGGCTTTGCCCAACAGCAGCCCCAGGGTCTGGGACAGGTCCCTGCAAGAATCCCTCAGATTAGGAGATGCCTGAATCTGTTCCTTCCATCCTTGTCTGGTGCCCAAGGACCAGCTCCCACGTGAGGGCTCAGCATCCTGTGACCGCCTAGGCTCCTTAGGCATGTCATCCAAGTCCCCAGTCTGTGGTGGAGCTGGACAGTGCCGGCCTCATGGGCTTTGCAAGCTTAGAGATGGAGCCATGCTGGTGTGCAGTGGGTATGATGTGGGTAGTGCACCTTTTAGCCACAGCTCTCTCCTCTCCTTCCACCCTGCCCACAGAGACAGACACACAGCAGGCAAGGCCTCACAGCGCCCCAGTGCTGGCTGGCCCTGCAGGCCCTGACCATGGGGAGTCACCCTGTCAGTCCTCTCAGCCAGTTCCCCTTGGATGCCCGCGGGGGCTGGGAGGTCGGGCCCACAGCGCTGCCTTAGCAGGATGCTGATTTCTGTTTTTCCACAGCCATCACAGCAA